GGTTCGCATCCTAAAGGTCTGGCATATCTTGTAACTTCTTGCATGCTTACCCCCACCCCAAATACCCTAGACTTGTTAAAGTTGACTCTAAGACCTGCGGAGGACATGAAAGCAGTGGAGAATCCTGGCGAGATTTTTTATGTTGTGTTCGGACCACTCACCAAGGAATAGTGCATCATCTGCATATAGTAGATGCGAGATTACCGGTCCTCCATTAGGGATTTGCAGTCCTTGGAAGACCCCTTTTTCGTAGGCCGCTCTCATCGCCACACTCAACCCCTCCATGGCTATTATAAAGAGGAATGGGGATAATGGATCTCCTTGTCTTACTCCCTTGGAGATGCAGAATTCCTCAGTTGGACATCCATTGATAAGAACCGAAGATTTTGCTGATGTCAGACAACCGAGAATCCACTTTCTCCACTTGACTCCAAACCCCATTGATTGCATGTTTGAGTCTAAAAATTTCCAGTTTATAGAGTCGAATGCTTTGTTAAAGTCGACTTTGAATAATAGTATCTTCTTTTTTACAGTTTTTGCCCACGAACAAATTTCATTAACCACTAGAGGACCATCTAGTATATTCCTTCCCGCCACATATGCAGATTGTACCTCGTCAATGCAGGACCCCAATACCTTCTTGATTCGATGTGCAAGAATTTTCGCAATGATCTTGTATATCGAGCCAATTAGGCTGATGGGGCGAAAGTCACTTAGCACAATGGGTTCTTTAACTTTGGGAATTAGGGAGATGAATGATTATCTTTAAAATATTCTTTAAAGAAAATCAAATATATAATGAATTCGGTAGCAACGACTAGCATATTAAAGTATTAAACAATTAAATCCCTTGCCCGAACTGCCCAAGACCCTGTGAAGATATTACGGGCAGGTCCTGAGTAACACCACACTCAAAATCGCACCTCTCTTCTCTCTTTCTCTTGGATTATATCTACAGCTATCTCACGCTTTTCATCATACGATCATCATCCAACGGTTCACAATGAACGCTACCTCCGGCGTCTCCGTTCTCAGGTTTTAGCTCATAAAACCTCCAGATCTGCTTCATCAGTCACCGGATCTTTCGTTTCGTAAGTTTTTCTTCTCAAATTTCATTCAATTCAGTAATATATTCATAAAACTGGAGCTTCTTCAAGTTAATGTTGCGTTTCCAGCGTTTATCTCGAAGTTTTCTTTCGTTTTCGTTCATTTTCTTTAAATTTTCCGGCGTGAACTTTATCGTGTAACATAATTGGAAGCTAATCTGATAAGTTTATGTGGTGTTGCTAGTTATCGTGATTCTACTTTTACGAAATGGAGGCGATTCATAGCGTTATCAGTTATAGTTTGCTAAAATACGCTGGTGAAGCTCTAGCTACTCTGCTTGTGTCTGCTTTGCTTCGAGTTCAGGTTCGTTTAGTTTTTTGTTTCTTAAATTGCGCCAAATTGAACTTTTTACTATTGGGTGTACTGCTAATATACGCTTTTTAGTTTTTTCGTCCTTTTATGTTGTTCATTAGATTTTCTTCTCTTGAATTAAAAAAAAAAAAAGACGTGGACTTTGTTTTGGATCACAAGCCATGATGTTGGTATCTACTGATCTCATGAGTTGTGTTTTCTCTTCGCCAATTTTAAATAACTAAATTTTTTTTTCCCATTGATTTGCTTAGAAAAACAAAAAGATTTTAAGATTTAATACAATAATCCATGAATTTTTCAAATGTTATCTTATTATATTTTATATTGTCAAAGACCAAATTCAATACAAATCCATATAGTTTATTTATTTATTTTAATTTAACTATTGAAATTTTTTCAAAAGAAACCACTGTTTATGTTTCCCAATCGTAAAAACCATGGCAAGAATTTCTAACATTTTTTTGTTTGGAGTTGTTTTTTGTTAAAAAAAAATCCAAACTAATGGCTAAATAAAATAAAAAAATCATGTGAATGGTTAAACGAACAACTTACGAAGTATGATATGGTTTATATATAATTAAAAAGTTTTATGTAGTAAACAAAATTAAAGTTTCCATGGTCAAAATAATATATATAAAATTACAGTAACTTTTATAAAGTTTGGCTTATTCATTATCATCAAAATATTCTTATTAAATACATCTCTAATTAAATATACGCGAACTTAAATTATTGGTATTTTTTTTTTTTTGAATTTCTGTCGGTTTTAGTGTAGAGTTAATAAATTTTCAATTTTGCACAAAACTTTATTTTACCTTTAAACAAAGTCCGAAATTATAATGAAACGTTGTGATGAAAATCAAAATCAGAAAAAACATAGGAATTAAATTCAATATGAAACTTTGAAATATTTACCAAAATTGAAAAAAAAAAAATCCTTCAATTTTGGAGTCCCGGAAAGTACATAGACCAATCTTATAACATATTATGTAGATTCGTTTCATTATAACATTTTTCGTATATAAGGAAATCTTAAGAAAGTATCTATTAAAGATTTCGACTTAAAGCATTTATTAAAAAAAAAATTAAATATCCTCCTATTCTTTGTTTCTACATATCCTCCTACCCAATGAATGATGACATGTGTAACATTTAATGTTCATTTAATGATATTTTAGAATACTAATATGACACATGTCATCATTTAAATGGGTAGGAGAATTAGTAGGATCAAAAGGTAGGAGGATATTTAATTTCTCATTAAAAAATTAATAAATTAATTAGGAACGTGTAGGATGGGGTGCGAATATTCCAAAACTCGATGCCACTTTCTTAGCCACTTGCCTTAGGGAAAAGGATGTTTTATCCACCAAACTATATTTTGTATATTGTATATATTTTTCTAACTCTAAGTTTCAATACAACAGGCACACCTACTTCATGTAAATTATTATATATATATATATATATATATATATATATATATATTATATATATTTTGTGAAAAATTTTAACCACATTTTTGGTCTATTTTGGTCCTCCACTACTTACAACATTGACACTTCACCTTTATGCTTTTGTTCACAAACAACCCTTTAACTTTGGTTTGAATTTTTTATAACTCTGGCATTTTATTACATATTATTAGTATTTCTACTTACAACATTGACCCTTCACCTTTATGCTTTTGTTCACAAACAACCCTTTCACTTTGGTTTGAATTTTTCATAAACCTCGCATTTTATTACATATTATTAGTATTTAGTCATATTATATAATATATATATAGTTTCCACATTAACAACTTAAGCCCTTAAATTTTTATCAATTTTGTTAAAATGTGTCTTATAAATTAAACCTTGACTTTTGGGTCATGATCAATATTGCGAATTATTTGAATTATATCTATATATATATTATATTATATATATATATATATATATTAAAGATGTGAAAAATTTTAACAGTAAACATGGTGTTTTTTTGGCAGAAATGGTCCCTCAACTATTTTTTTTTTGTTTTTTGTTTTTTTTTTTAAGCCCTTAAATTTTTATCAATTTTGTTAAAATGTGTCTTATAAATTAAACCTTGACTTTTGGGTCATGATCAATATTACGAATTATTTGAATATATATATATATATATATTCTTATATATATATATCTATTATATATATATATTAAGATGTGAAAATTTTAACAGTAAACATGGTGTTTTTTTGGCAGAAATGGTCCCTCAACTATATTTGGGTCATTTTAAAGTTGCTTCCTTTTTGTCTTTTTTGGTCCCTGTGGTTTACCAGATTTAACACATTGAGGAACAACGATGGAAACCGAAATTACTCTTTTACTCCTAATCCGATTTTTTTATTAATTTATATTTCTCTTTTTCGTTTTAAATTAATGTTTTATTTATTAGAAAATACTCACCCAATACCATAAAGCCACCCACCATCTGCCATCACCACCACCACCACCACCGCCAAAATTACATAAATGGTCCATATGGTTTACCCGTGGTCACAAATTCAATCCTTAGTACCTGAAAAGACCAAATCACCCTCACATTAACGGACAAAAATCAACGGTCTATATTTTCCGGATTGGTTTTCCGGCCGCTGCCATACATGGCAATAAAGTTCAATTTGTGACACCATTTCTTTATTTTCCTCATTTATTGTAAGAAAAATATTTAGATTTCTTTACTTATGTAATTAGATGACATTGTTTATCTTCCTTTACTGGATTATCTCAATTCAATTCAACATGCTACTTTACTTTACAAAGCAATACCTTCCGACCCCGGCAACGCCGGGGAATCCTTTCTAGTTAATATTATATTAATTACTATTAGGGAAAATGACGAAAAAAACACTATTTTTTCCAAAAGTCCGGTTTAACCACCAATTTTTAAAAAGTTACGAAAAAACCATCAATTTTTGATAAAATGTTTCAGTGTGGCCACTGTTACCTATTAAAACCTATTTTAAGTACGAAAAAAGCACTATATTTATCAAAAGTTCGGTTAACCACCCAAAAATTGGTGGTTAAACCGGACTTTTAGAAAAATGTAGTGTTTTTTTCGTATTTAAAATAGGTTCTATTAGGTAAAAGTGGTCGTGCTGAAACATTTTACTAAAAATTGGTTGTTTCTTCGGAACTTATTAAAAATTGGTGGTTAAACCAGAAAATGTGACAAAATATAGTGGTTTTTTCGTGATTATCCCTTACTATTATTGTTAATTTATGCTTTGACTTTTTTCATCTATATTAAAATTTTAAAATTATTAAGCTTTTAAAATTTAAAAAAAAAGTTATGCAAAAAAGTAATATCATACTTTGCCAATTTGCATCTAAAATTGTTCATTATTGCAAAAAATACTAGTTTACGATGAAAAATCAAATAATATAATGTTTCAAAAGTTAAAAGCTTAATAATTTTATATTTTTGCTAATTTACTATTATTGTTTTTAAAGTGTTTAAAACATGTAATTATTTAGGATTCCTCTCGGTTTTTATCCGAAAACCCTAAAATCAAAGGAGACCATGAAACATGTCACTCGAAGCCTTTACAAGCAGATAGTAATGATGAAGATGATGATGATGATAGGAATAATGAGTCTGAAGGAGAGGAAGATCATGATTCTGATGATGCACCGAATAACACTGACAACAAAAATAACATAAACAAAGACATAACTAGAGGTGCAAAGGGTGATGGAGAGGAAGAGAATGGTGAAGAGCAAGATGATGATGATAATGATAATGATGACAATGATGAAGAAGAAAAAGATGATAATGATGAAGGTGAAGATGATGATGATGATGATGATGATGATGATGATGATGGAGAAGATGAGGATGATGATGAAGAAGAGGAAGAGGATGAGGATGAAGAACTCCAACCTCCAAAGAAGAGGAAGAAGTAGTCTGATACATCACTTTAAATGTGTCAATTTGTTTAGTTTTGAGGATCATTTAGGATAATTATTGTCTGTCTTATAAAGATTATTAATCCTAATTTAGAAGGTTGGGGAAATAAATTTTTCATGGATGAACATTTACTTAAGTTATTATTTCAGTTTTATAATCGGTTCATTACTTTTATCATCCAACTCAACATGTCATTTTCAACAAAATAGTTTGAATTTCCATGCAAGATTACTTATGCACTTCTAACATAAATATTGTGTTTGAACTCCTTTTACTTTAAGCAGTGATATTTGCAAGGCCGGTCTTGAGAATTCAAATGCCCAGGACGAGGCGCAAAAAAAAAATGCCCGTACGCCCTAACGTGTGACGAATTAAATTATATAAACTGAAGTTTTTTAAAATGACGATAAGTTTCATAAATCTACTTTTCTCATGTGAAAGTGTGAATCATATGTTATTTAGAGAAGCGAACTTATCTTCAAATCAAAGAAGGATAAACCCAACACTACTGAAATCAAAGTCAATTAAAAAAAAAACTCAGATGTAGGCATATAGCAGGATAATTTTTCATGCAAAAAGGATATCAAAGGGAAATCAAGGAACTAACTTGCATTCAGTTTTTCCTTTGCATGTTTATGTTTTTTTTTGCATAATCTCATATATTATACACATTATAATAAACTCTTGCATTTCATAATGATCTATATATAGTAGTAGCAGGTGATCACCTAAATATATAAGAAGTTAATTAGATCAAGGCCTTATATGCAACTGTTTGTAAAAAAGTGAGAATCAATGGTGCTCATATGATTTTAGTACACACAAATCTAACATTATTGTAGTCACTAAATCCCAAATCGTATCATATCAATTTGTCCAACAAACTAACCAAATTTCTAATAAATGACATATTTGTCTCTCTTTTCATAACATCAATTGATTGTTATCAATGTATCATGTGTTTGGCATGGAAACTTTTCTTGTTATTTTAAACTATTCATTGGACACCATCTGCTACGAGCCACGTTCTTAACAAAATCATTTTTTTATGAAGTGTTATTTAACACTACCCGACACTACCGAAATCAAAGTCAATAAAAAAAACCTCATAATCAATTGCACAATCCTTATCAAAAAACTAAAAAAAAAAACAATTTCTAAGAAGCAGAAAGGAACTAGGGCTTACAAATTTCTTAGAAGTGATGTTCAAGCTTGGTTTAATTTGAAGAAATCAGGAGTTTGATAAGCTTTTGTTGATGAATCGAATCGTGTTGAACATTGATGCGTAATTGGGTCAGAGGAGTAATCACATTGGTGCGTTTGAAACTGGTTTTATTCTAGGAGTTGTGACTGTTGGTTTGGATTCAGACGTGATTAAGGGTATAATGGTGGTAATCGGGGACTAGTGATCGTGGTCTGTTGGAAACATGAGATCTTGCGGCACAAAATGGTGAAGAAGGAGGCTGAAGGAGGAAGAACGATTGAAGCGCCTAAGTTAAAAAATAAAAGGGCCCCTAAAATTTTTGGGCCCTGTTCCACTGCCCAGCTTGCCCTTGCCCTACACCGGCCATGGATATTTGTATAAGACAATAGTTTCAGGCCAGCAAAAAATGTATTAGCTCCATGGAAAATAATACAAATAGAGGAGGTAGATTAACTAATATCAACATTTATATAACATCTTTGCTTAAATGCCCATAATTTGGTTTTCTTTATGTAGAAAGTTTAAGAGGTTGCAAAATTTACAATAGTAAAAGCTTAGATAAATTTTTTTTTTTTATAATCACACTTGGGTCATAGTAATTACAATAATCAATCAATATGTCAAATTTAAAAGTATTAATACCGATAAAGTTAAGATAAAGTTGTCTTTTTATGATCACAACTTTGTCATAGTAATTACAATATCAATGTCTTAAATCTTCAAAGTATAATTTTGGGTAAATCTATATGAAACTATTTCACTATTAATTGTACCTACCTTTTAAAAAAATTGTTTTTTTATTACTTTAGTTTATTTTATCTTTTGTTGTCTTTTTTTATTAATATTATTTAATTTATTATTATTATTAAAAAATATATAAAACAACAATAATATAAATAATAATAATAATAAAGAAAAGTTTATTTTTTTTAATCATCGGATATACTGTTTGAGTGTTAAAATTGTATGATGCATTATACGTGTTATGTTCTGAACATAAACATTGTAACACGCCTCTTTAGGGCCTATTTGTAAAATCATTTTCAAACAAAGTTTAAACTCTTAAGATTTCAAAAGTTTCAAGTTTGATGCGGAAAGTTTAACAATTTCAAAAGTTTCATAAAATTTTTAAGAAATATCTAGTGAGCTACCCGTTGATCAACTCATTTTGAGTAAGGAATAACAATCCCAATACTTGAATTGAACATCCCAAAAACTTATAAATAAAAATTGCAAAAATGGTCTCTGTTGTTGGCAAAATTATGTGATTTTGATCCAAAAACGTTTGGGGGTGCATCAGTGGTCTAATTTTGGATCTTTTAGTGTTTTTGGTCCCCATACACTTAAAATGACTATTATACCCTTTAGATTTGTATTTATAATATTTTTTATATTTCTATTAATGTTTTTAAATAATTAAAGATACTAAAAGGCTCCTCTCTCTCTCTCTCTCTCTCTCTCTCTCTCTCTCTCTCTCCTAAGAACACCCAACAGATGACACCCTTTCAAGAACACACAACATATCCCAATATCATCATTCACCATCACGATCCACCTTCCACCATCACCATTGACCACCACCATCCGCCTGCCATCATCTCTGTTCACCACCACCATCCGCATGCCACCATTGTTGTGTTGGATTTGGTGTCTAAGCTCATAACTATAACTGGTATGTACTTGACCCGATTGTAGCATGGTCCTTTTGGGTTGTCTTCACTAGTGCAATTTGATAGGATGAATTTTGAGAATAAGGTTATTTATGGTTTATTAATATATTATAAGTATAATATATTAATACATAATTAATTAATTAGTATTGATCAAGAATTAATTTATTAATTTTGTGATCAAAATAGACTAATTAAATATATGAGGATTGATTATGTAAATCAATCATTCTTGTAGTCTGGGCTAATGATCCATGATTATGGGCTAAATTAATCCATAGATAGTCCATGGAGGCTAAACCCATGGAGCATGAGAATGTGGAAAGTCATTGGTTATTAGGGTTTACCAAGTGTAACCCTAGCATGTACAACACTATAAATAGAACCCTCTATAGCCAAAATCGGTGACAAATGGTTGCCTCTTCTCTTTGAGATAAATAGATTATTCTCTTAAATCATCCTCTTGCATATTGGTGTTTGTGAACTATTAGAGGCATCACACTTGAGGTGCTCAAGCTTACAAGGGTCAAGAACTACAAGTCCTTCAAAAGGTATGTCATCTATCTAGATGTTTTATTCAATTGGCAATTTGTATGCTAGTTAGGACAATGCTTTGGAAAAATTGAAAATATGCATGTATAATAGAGAAAACATAGATCCAAAGCATTTAGGGTTGCATGTCCACCATAGGAGTGTTATAGTGCTCAAAACCCAACAGTGGTATCAGAGCCTAGGATTGTTTTCCATTATATTTGATGTTTACTAGTGTTTCAAAGCTGAAAAAGTCGAATTTTTTGCCTCTGACTAGTGAACTCGTCGAGTACATGAAGAGACTCGACGAGTCCACTCAGTATCAGAGCAACGCGCTGAGTCCAGTTCATGTCTCGACGAGTTGAAGGCTCTGTTTGCAAATTTTCGAGTTTCTTGGCCTGATTTGGATTTGTAACACTACCACAAACATTAGAAATGTTTTTTATGATATGGTAGTGCTTGTACTCATCCACACAAGATAATTGTCAAAGTTTTGAAATAATTGTTGTTTTTTATATGATAAACAAAATTGTTGACTAAAAATTATCTTGCCTATGAGTTTAGTTAGATCATGAATTATGTGATAATTTAGTTGTTAGAAAAGATGATCTAAATACATTTTAATGACCTCCATAACTTGTCCTCAAGTTATGGAAAATGAAAGGTCTCTTACATTAAAATCCAATTAAACTCATAAGTTATGAATGTGAAGAGTTTTGACAAGTTTCAAAACTTGCCATCAAGTTTTGGAATTTGTAGAGTCTCACTAATGAAACTTTAATTCCAAACCCTAGAGTTTTAAAAGTTAAAATTCAACCCTTATACTTTATAATATTATAAGTTTAATAATTATATATATATATATATATATATTATATTATATATATGTGTGTGTATAAGATAAAGGCGGTCTTACCGTTAGTAGGTCTCATTCACGAAGCCGGTCTATAAGGGGGGGGGGGATAAGGTTACTGTCTATAAAATGGTAGTTTAATGGGTGTCCACTTTCACCCACCGCTTCCTTGACTGGTCGAGGGTCGTTAGCCGAACGGGTAGGATAGGACATTAATTCTCCCTCATTAAAAGTATAATGATCAAAAAATAAAGTAACTAAACTTTTATTAAAAATTCCCAATCTTAGTTACTTTAGGAAAAATGTGAAATGGTGTTAATCCATGAAATTACACTTTCCACCTTGTTAAGTCGTTAGTGGAGCGTGTATTGTTAACCGGCACACTAATCTGGGACTGACAATGTGTGGCAAAGGGTAACTTGGTGTTAATTATAGATCAATGGAGCGTGTGTGGTTAACCGACACATTGATTAGGTGATTTGTAACATTGGGTGTACCAAGCTAATTTGCATGGTTATTCACTCCTTGTTTGTGATCCTCGGCATCCCAGTCACAAACTTGAAGGGCACAATCGAGATATAAACATGCCATTGAAAAAGTTCAATGAATCTCAAAGATCTAGGAATTTCAAATCCAATTAAAACATAATAATCTATTTCGCTTTTCATGGTGGAAATTGGTAAATCGTCATTTACCTACCTTCAAATATTTTACAATTGGATTACAGCATCCCTCTTCGCAATTGTAGAATATTGTGTTGGGTCTTAGCCTTAATATTTCATGTTGGGTGTAATATTAAGGATAATCATCTAATATAAACTTTGTTCTTCTTCTTTTCAGATGTCTATCCCAAACAATGCTTACAACCCAATCCCTTCAGGCTCTTTCTCCCTCATGAACCTATGTGGGAGGGTCATTTTT